CCCGTGCGGCCCGCCCCCCAGCCGGCGTGGAGTCGGTGATCGACACGTCCCTGCACAAGGTCCTGAAGCTGCCACGCGTGGAGGCTGCAGGGACCTGGACGGTTTTGATCAGCCCCAGCGGCGTCTATGAGGTGGAGATCGGGGGCAAGAGCCTGCTGGACGTGTCCGTGCAAATCCTGGAGCAACGGCAAGATCTGGTGCTGCCCATCCAGGGCCGGCCCGTGCGAGGTAAGGCCTGTGTGAGGTGACACCCATACAAAGTGATATTCATGCAAGCCAATGCCCGTGCAAGGCAACACATGTATGAGGCAACACCCATGCAAAGTGAAGCTTCTGCAATGTAACGCCCGTGCAAGGCGAAGCCCATGCAAGGTTGCACTTGTGCAAGGTAACAATCATGCAAAGTGGAATCTGTGCAAGAAAATGCCCGTGCAAGGCAACACACATGTGAGGCAACACCCATGCACGATCCAGTGCAAGGCGATGCCCGTGCAAGGTGCCACTCGTGCGAGGTAACACCTATATAAAGTGACCTGCGTGCAAGAGAATGCCCATGCAAGGCAACACACATGAGACAACACCTGTGGAAGGCGATGCTCGTGCAATGTAATGCCAGTGCGAGGCAATGCCCGCAAGGCAACACACATGTGAGGCAACACCCATGCACGATCCAGTGCAAGGCGATGCCCGTGCAAGGTGCCACTCGTGCGAGGTAACACCTATATAAAGTGACCTGCGTGCAAGAGAATGCCCATGCAAGGCAACACACATGAGACAACACCTGTGGAAGGCGATGCTCGTGCAATGTAATGCCAGTGCGAGGCAATGCCCGTGCGGCTCCGCCCCACCTCCCCATAGTCCCACCCACAATCCTCCACACTCCTCCTCTGATGCCCCGCCCCCTGCCCAATGCTCTGCCCCACCTCCCCATAGTCCCACCCACAATCCTCCACACTCCTCCTCTGATGCCCCGCCCCCTGCCCAATGCTCTGCCCCACCTCCCCATAGTCCCACCCACAATCCTCCACACTCCTCCTCTGATGCCCCGCCCCCTGCCCAATGCTCTGCCCCACCTCCCCATAGTCCCACCCACAATCCTCCACACTCCTCCTCTGATGCCCCGCCCCCTGCCCAATGCTCTGCCCCACCTCCCCATAGTCCCACCCACAATCCTCCACACTCCTCCTCTGATGCCCCGCCCCCTGCCCAATGCTCTGCCCCACCTCCCCATAGTCCCACCCACAATCCTCCACACTCCTCCTCTGATGCCCCGCCCCCTGCCCAATGCTCTGCCCCACCTCCCCATAGTCCCACCCACAATCCTCCACACTCCTCCTCTGATGCCCCGCCCCCTGCCCAATGCTCTGCCCCACCTCCCCATAGTCCCACCCACAATCCTCCACACTCCTCCTCTGATGCCCCGCCCCCTGCCCAATGCTCTGCCCCACCTCCCCATAGTCCCACCCACAATCCTCCACACTCCTCCTCTGATGCCCCGCCCCCTGCCCAATGCTCTGCCCCACCTCCCCATAGTCCCACCCACAATCCTCCACACTCCTCCTCTGATGCCCCGCCCCCTGCCCAATGCTCTGCCCCACCTCCCCATAGTCCCACCCACAATCCTCCACACTCCTCCTCTGATGCCCCGCCCCCTGCCCAATGCTCTGCCCCACCTCCCCATAGTCCCACCCACAATCCGCCACACTCCTTCTCTGATGCCCCGCCCACTACCCGATGCTCCGCCCCACCTCTCTCCTCATAGCCCCTCGCTCTCTCCGGTGCTCCACCCCCTTTTTCTCCCCCCTGTCCTCTGCTCACCACCCCTTGGCCTCCCCCCAGGCACCCTGCTGCCGGGCTCCGTGGGGCAGCTCGCCGTGCTGGTGGTGAACGATGGGGCCGAGGCCACATTCACCTTCTCGGTGGCCGACGAGATGGGGCTGCTGCAAAGCTACGACCCCCCCCGCCGGCACATGGGGGCCGCGGAACCCGTGGGCCT